TGTGTGAAGGCCAGCCATCAGTCGATCATGAGACATGCATGTCCTCATATTGACCTTTTGACCCATGCACATCCCAGCAACCCTCTCCAAGGGCAACCAACATCACTGTCACATGCTGCATGACTAAAACACACATATTCATTCACACACACTCATACCATCACACACACACACACACACACACATTATCCAATTAAACTGTGCAGAGAGAGAAATAACAGCCAGCAATGTTTGAGATTTGCTGAAAACATCAGTTTCCAACAGAATGAACAATAGTAGAGGTTCAATAATTCACTTTAGTTTGCAGCTGGTTAGGGCAAAACTGTAATTTAAAGAAACGCTGATGGACAAGTTTTTAATTGCAGCACAGATAATGTTTTCATATGGACTGATATCAGTCATTAATTGGTTTAGTCAATAAGCCTTAATTACTCGCGCGCGCTCTATTCTAACGGGGATTTAAACTAATATAGGCTACGAATTAATAATAAAACTCGTGATTAAATAATAAATTATTGTCTAGCACGAATATGGTCGCGTTAATTATAAACGAGCGAGTCATTTCGATAATGTCCTGTTTCAAAATTACAATTATTTTACGTTTTATAAAATGTTAAAAACGATTAAACCTGACGGGAAACAAATTCATTTCAACTTTATTTTAATGCATTTAAACGCGTCATTGAGAGTCGTTCAGAAAATGAAAACTACAGAAAAACAACAATCATTACAAAACAAGAACGACGAAATAATAATAATAATAATAATAATAATAACAACATCGAGTTTATATGCAAATAATAGTTTTTAACAATTGTTATTATATTCGAATTAATAATAAAACTCGTGATTAAATAATAAATTATTGTCTAGCACGAATATGGTCGCGTTAATTATAAACGAGCGAGTCATTTCGATAATGTCCTGTTTCAAAATTACAATTATTTTACGTTTTATAAAATGTTAAAAACGATTAAACCTGACGGGAAACAAATTCATTTCAACTTTATTTTAATGCATTTAAACGCGTCATTGAGAGTCGTTCAGAAAATGAAAACTACAGAAAAACAACAATCATTACAAAACAAGAACGACGAAATAATAATAATAATAATAATAACAACATCGAGCTTATATGCAAATAATAGTTTTTAACAATTGTTATTATATTCGATCTTTAGCAAAAGTTTGAAATAGAAATACAAACAGGATAATTCTGATTTGATACATGCTTTTAGATGAAAACCATTTTTACAATATTTTGCTGTAATTCTGACAGTTTTCAAAAGAAAGGCAAAGGCGCGTGTTAATTATTTGTAGTAATTAGTCCAGGTAATGACGACCATCTCGCGCACCTGCGGGTTTAACTTATTTCAACTAAAATACATTATAAGATGCAGGGGGAAAAAATTATTTCTGAACTAGCACAGTTAATGAATTATTATTCGTATCAGTATTATCGTAATTATCAGATTTGTGTCTTAGTCTTTTCATTTAAAAAAAACGGAAACCATTGCTGAGAACGAATGTCCAATACAGTATCACTGATCATTTATGAAAATGTAAACAAAATAAAAATAAACATCAGCCCAAATTAATTTATAGCACAAATTCTCAATGCACAACAATGTTAAGGCTGAACAAACACGCCATAAAAGAAAATAAGTCTCGCGATCATCCAAAATGACAACTCGCTGCAAGAAGCTACAGGAAGACAAACAACCAAAGTAACGGAGCTACACACCAATGCAACACATATAAAACAACTGCACGATGATCCCCTAAACATGTTACTCCCCAGGTCTGCGCTTTATGTTTATGTTTCAAGTGCTTGTAGACAAAGTGACGCGCGCGCAGTCATATTCCTATAAACGCCGTTTTCTCCTCGCTTCCCTCCCTGCATGCGCGCCTTTCCCAACTTCCCTAATAGAGCAACCGGGAGAAACTCACATCAAAGCGTGCAGCAGGCCTCGGGTCCGCGTGATTCCCGCAGGTATCCGCACCGCGAGAGACGGAGACGCGGCGCTGCGCTTTTCCTCTATACGCGTGCGTTTGAAGCGACGCGGAGAAAAGACTCTCTAAAGGGAGACGCGCGTCTTTTCTCTTTTCTGTTCTTTTTTTTATATACACAGAACTGCTTTTTGTTCCTCATTTTTTTCATTTAAGAGGGTAATGGAAGGGGGGTGTTCGTTTGATCACATGATTACAATTCACCTGAGATAAAACAAAGGACGCAAAGAGCGCCGGAGACCGAGACAGAGAGATGCTCTCATGCTCAGGATCCCCTTATCAGAGTCAACATTCATGGATAATGAAAAAGGCAATGATTTTTGGCTTGTGTGGAGGGTGGAGGGGGGGGCGTCGCGAGACGGAAATACAAGAGGTTATTGTTGACCAGAACAGCGCGCGTGTTTGTGTGCGTTTGGCCCGTCGTTCGCCTCTCTTCTCGTCTTTCTATATTTTCCGTTTAAACGCGTTAAATGCGCTCTCTGTGTGTTTATGTGATGCAATTATGACACTAACACGTAGCACGACAGGAGCTCATTCCAGCGGGTCAGACTGCAGGCCTACATGCGCACACCATCCCGCATATACAACTAAGGCTTCAAATCAGCTAATAAGTCGCAAGCTATTAAACTCAATAGCCTAGATGAATTTACACTCATAGATAGGCTATTCCGCACGCGCTCGAGTAAGAAGCAAGACGTTGTTGCGCACAGCAGGTGCCGGGAGCCGCTGACAGGTCCTATGGCGCTCGGCGGGGGGGGGCTCCTCCGATTAATGCGCTCTCTGTGTGTTTATGTGATGCAATTATGACACTAACACGTAGCACGACAGGAGCTCATTCCAGCGGGTCAGACTGCAGGCCTACATGCGCACACCATCCCGCATATACAACTAAGGCTTCAAATCAGCTAATAAGTCGCAAGCTATTAAACTCAATAGCCTAGATGAATTTACACTCATAGATAGGCTATTCCGCACGCGCTCGAGTAAGAAGCAAGCCGTTGTGGCGCACAGCAGGTGCCGGGAGCCGCTGACAGGTCCTATGGCGCTCGGCGGGGGGGGCTCCTCCGATTCACCCCGCGGCACAAGCAGGCCAACAACGCGCCAGTGTGATCGGAAACACCCGAAAACCCCCGTGACCCTAATGAGGGACCAGAGACCACCTGTGAAAGTCTGACAAAATCATAAAACTGCATTATAACATTACTAACGTAACATCAGTAGCTAATTTGACATCTTTGCATTCTTATATTGCAGCATTTCCCAAACGTTGTCAGCCGGGCAACTTGGAGCTATTTTCAAAAATGTAACAACATTTTGGCACGTTCACGGTTCTCTGTCGGTTAAAGGTCACATGACATATACAATTTGTAACTTTTATTGTGATTATTTTTATTTACTAATTATTTGTGTATTTTAATTCGACGTTTTATGATTTAATTAATTAGTAGCTTTAATTAGTATTCGCTTTTCATCAACTCATTGTGTTCCCAAACTTTTCTATGTGTTAGAAATTAGATATCCGCTAATAAACTGCGCGTAAGTCTGAATGATCATGAATAAACATAAGCTCTGATTTTAAAATGAAACAGATTCCAACTACATCATTTGGATTATTACTCAAAATAAAGGCGTTTTCACAGTCATGCCATAAAAGAACCAGTTTTGTTTCCCAAAGTAGGCCTACAGTTCTATATAACATTTCCCACTATTAAGAACCTTTAAATGTTCGATGGATGTTACGGGTTCTTCATGGAACCATCGATTCCAATAAAGAACCTTTATTTTTAAGATGACAATGGCAATTTAAAACTATTTATAATATGACAACTTTACACCAAAACTTTATAACTGAGAGCTAAATCAGCATATAAAGCTCCAAATATGTCAATAAGTGTATAAAAATGTTTAAACTCACAAATAAAATAAAATGATTACACCCTAAGAGGCCAAATATTACTGGCGTTGATTTATTTGCAGCAGAAATCACCGCCCTCCGTTGAAAAACTTCAGGGCGAAATCCGGCAGCCAATCAGAGCGCGACCCGACAGGCCTCTGCTGCTCCTTTAAGAATTTTTTTTTCCACGAATTGATTTTTTTTTCTCGCTCCTCACACAACGAGGCTCTTTAAGCCCCGGCGCGCGACACAGAGCAGGCATTCAGAGCGCGAGCGAGGGGGCTGAACCGACGGACTCTCGCGCTGGGCGGGCGACCTGCTTCAGTGCAGTAAGACGCTTGACATTATTACCTCTCTCTCTATCACTTACTCTGTGTGGGAATATACGGCAATGCAATGTATCGAGAAACCGCTAAACAGAGAAATTAGTATCGGTATTGTTAACAATAGGCTACATATGCCCTGCTTTGACTTTATTTCTCTACATCTGCTTATTTACATGTGAAGTCGGGTTTTCTCTGCTGTGGTTTGAGTTTTGGTAACAAGGGCGTAATTGTAAAGAAGAAAGTTTTTTTTTATCTTTCTGGATTAACAGTGTAAAATACTGCAACGCTCAAATTTTCTGAGCACGAAACTCTTTAAAGCTAAGTTGGTGTCACGAGGGATAAATTTCGAGATTTGCGTGAATGTGTAAATCAGAGTCGTGTTGGGTTAATCTGTTTTAATGGGAAAAGTTGCTTAATCGGTGTTTGACGAAACGATTTGACGCATAGGCTACACATCGGTCATTTGGCAAAAAAAATAAAAAATACAGCTCGTTAAATAACGAATTTGAGTACTTTTATCCATGTTGTTGCATCTATTATACATAACTATTTAAGAGCTTTTTAAAATACAGACAATATTTGCTATAGTCTTTGAAAAACGTTTTACTCGCAAAATGCTGTTTCAAATTGCTCTATAAAGCCATCAGATTTAAGTGCAATTTGATAATGTGAAAAGAGAAAAATGTAAAGTACAAAATCTACATAATATGTTAAGTCTGTCACATTCCTTTCACACAAAAAGAAGAAAAAAAACAAGTTTAACGCTCCGATATTCTGATAAAAACACTGAAATTGCACAAGAGATCCAATCAACAGTATCTCATTAGTGGAAGTAATCTAATTTTTGTCAAATCTGAGCACGTTTGTTTAAATGTCTGGTAATATTTTAATGGGATTGTTCCATTTAGGAGAGTGGTGTTTTGGCATGAGTGAATTAGGGGCAAATTATTGCCAAACCAGGCGTAATGACCCGCCCTACTGTACTGCGTGAACCTGGTCAAGAATATGCCGAAATAACGTAGCTAAAGATGCACTGAATAAGATTTGAATAGTAAACGAAGTTAGCAGTGGCGGATAAAAAAGAGCAATAATAAAGAGTTGTGAGTGGTTAAAATGAATGAACAACGCTTCCAAGTTCTCTTAAACAGTCGCTTTGTACTGAAATGAGTTGAACGGAAAATAGAGCAAACCCAACAGCGCAATTAGGCTACTTAAATAAATTAACCCATACCTGTGTTAGTCTACTAAAAACCAATTATTAAGTCTAATGAGGCGCATTATCTAGTCCCAAAGAAACTTCTACTTAACACACAAGTCAATCGGACACAGATCTAAACGCAGTGACCCTCTCAAATGTGATTATTGAATTGATATTAAATGAATCTGTTATCACAGAAGTTAAGTCACCTAGCTGTGTCTGATCTTAATTAAAACTGGTGTCGGATGGGTTGTTGTTCTTGTGTTCGGCTGAGATTCGATCCGCACCGGCAACAGCAGGCCTAATTCATCTCTAGTGTTTTTGCCGTATATAAAACAGTAGCCTATCTGTTGTGTTCAGTTCATACTTTGAGAGAAAAGCTGGTTCTCTGATTGATCTTCAGTCAGACCTATAGACGCAAAATACATATTTTATTCTTAACGTCGCGCGTCTATTCACTTCGCTGCTTGCTTGAGTTTTCAGAAACACATTGCCATGACTCTCTGTATGTTTCTGCTGGTTATGAGTCGTCGCTTGTGCTTTCACCAACAAACACTGTGTAATTCAGCTGGCCACAGCAGCGGCGCTCCGTGTTTATCCAGCAGCGGGGCGGAATGAAGCCCGCATTATTCCAGCACTTTCTCTCCCGGGAGCTTGAACACACCGCCAAACCTTCAACAGTAGCTTGTTAGCAGAAGTGAAGCTAAAATAACACACACACAACACACGCTGAGGCGAACTGACGCCACCGTATGATTGCTGGAAAAAAGACGAATTCTAAATAAAGTCAAAGCCTCAGTGTTTGTAGCAGTTTTTCCTGAACAGGTCGATCTTGTTCGTGAGGTGTTTGAGTGCTGGGTTATGAACAGAAATATCCCATTACAACTCCATTACACATTCAGAAGAAATACTTGACAACCTCCGATAATAAAAAATAAACATTCCTTTGTGTGTATTGTTGCAGGTTTTTCAGCAGATCTATATCCTGAGAAAGACGGCGGATGGATTCATTCTGAAAAGAACTGAGATCGTGTAAAAAACAAGCGTGTTAACGTTCCATTGGAGGACCTAAAGTAAATAATAATATATATATTTTTTAAAAAGCATTGGCAACTGTTTTACAGAAAAAAAAGTCGTTTTTTAGTGAATAAACTTAAAAAAACAGAGGCCCTGCGAGAACAACTAGACCTACCGAAGACACCTGTGGCCGCAGAGCGAGAGGACCGATGTCGGCGGAGGAGCACAGTATGTCAGAGGTGGAAATGAGTCCCGGGGTCTCGGACGACGGTCACTCCATGTCCCCCGGACACTCGTCCGGTGCTCCCGGCGGGGCGGACTCCCCTCTTCCCGGTCAGGCGTCTCAGATGCCGGGCGTCGGTGATGATGAGGCCGGCGTCTCCACCGGGGTCTCGGTGAAGTCCGACGAAGACGATGACCGTTTCCCCATCGGCATCCGCGAGGCGGTCAGTCAGGTGCTTAACGGCTACGACTGGACCCTCGTACCCATGCCCGTGCGCGTGAACTCGAGCAGCAAGAACAAGCCGCACGTGAAGCGCCCGATGAACGCGTTCATGGTGTGGGCGCAAGCCGCGCGCAGGAAACTGGCTGATCAATACCCGCACCTGCACAACGCCGAGCTCAGTAAAACACTCGGAAAACTCTGGAGGTGAGAGAGAGAGAGCAAACACGTTTTACCTGTGCAACCCTTACAAAAGATGCTGTGGCGCCACCATGGTGCGGTGATGTTAGTACCGTGGTACTTAGATATAAAATATGATACTAGATGTTTGCCATGTCATGCACAAATTAATATTAATATTTATATCATATAGTACTCCAAAGGCAATTTTATCTATATAGCACTTTTGCTTTTCACTTGTTTTACTTAAAAAATATGCCAAATAATCATAAAAGATGCATAAGCAATGACATTAAAAATAAAAATGTATCAACACATAAGAATAACAATTAGTTATATTAAAAATATAATTAATAAACATAAGAAGAAAAAAACAAAGCATCTCCATAAAATCACTGTGATCGAATTAAAGGTCCATCTGCACATCCTCAATCCCTCCCACTCAAGAAACAGCCTCCATGAATTCATTACTGTAATTCTATCGTTAAATAATTGATGCTTGAGTTGAATGGCTCTCTTAGGTTCTGCTGTCTATCTGATGGCCACACCTCACTGTCAGCCTTATATTAACTGCACACTGCTCCGGTGGTGTTGTTAACTCGGCCTCTGGCTTTGAGTTTCTCAGGAGCTTTAGCTCAGAATAATCATTCCTTCAACATGCCAGATTAGAAGGACAAATCCCTTCAGGAGCTGCAGAGCACAAACACACATACACACACACTGGCCACAGTCTGTAAACAGCACTATTAACCTGAGCTAGAAGGCCAACTTCAGCTATTACGGAGTGTATTTGTCTAAAATAGTTTATTTCCATGAGGGAGCGAGTGTTTGGTTCGCCTGTGTCTCGCTCTACAGATGACAGCATAACAGGTGGAGAATCAAACCGCAGAGTTCGCTCAGACACCAGCTGGAATATCAGTCTGCTCACGTTAAACTCTCAGATGAGAAATCCGAGCCACTTTCAGTATTTAACAACTCAATAATCTCAAAGTCTGGTGTCATTATAGTTTATTCGACACTTAACTCCTGTTTTTGCATACAGTAAATAAGGCCAAAGGAAAAAAAAATAATTACACACATTTTAAAAACTTAAACTTCAAAAGCACTGATGAAGTATTGAAATTCTGTTGTGATTGAAATAAGATTTTATTGTCAGTTTATATGAGTGCCTGAGTTTATATATGAGTTTACTGTGATGATATAGGATTAGATTCTCTTTATTTGTCCAGTGATTAGCTGTTACCTGTCACATTTGTTGAGCATTTCACTTTTAAATATTCTGGTATTTTAAAATATATTAATGTTTTTGCATTATATACTGTGCAAAAGATAATCTTTTTTTGCATGTGTGTTTCAGGCTGCTGAACGAGTCGGATAAGAGGCCATTTATCGAGGAAGCTGAGCGTTTGAGGAAGCAGCATAAGAAAGATTATCCCGAGTACAAGTACCAGCCACGTAGACGCAAGAACGGCAAACCGGGATCAAACTCTGAGGGTGACGCCCAATCTGAGGGTGAGGTCAGTCACAGCCAATCGCATTACAAAAGTCTGCATCTGGATGTGGTACATGGCGGGGCCGCAGGATCGCCATTGGGCGACGGACACCACCCTCACACTACAGGTGAGTTACTGCTGTTAAGACATCTGGGGTCACTTTTATTCATCAAGGACGTATTAAATTGATAAAAAGTGACAGTAAAGACATTTATAGTGTTAGAAAAGTATTTTTGATTCAATAAATGCAGCCTCGGTGAGCAAAATTCATCAAAAATCTTACCGACCCCAAACTTCTTCCTCTAAAATGCATCCATTTGTTCCTTCAGGTCAGAGTCACAGCCCTCCGACGCCCCCTACCACTCCTAAGACAGAATTGCAGGGCGGTAAATCCGGTGAGGGGAAGCGTGAGGGCGGAGCCTCCAGGAGCGGTTTGGGGGTGGGAGCAGACGGAAGCTCCGCCTCCTCATCTGCCAGCGGAAAACCGCACATCGATTTCGGAAACGTGGACATTGGCGAGATCAGCCATGATGTGATGGCCAACATGGAGCCGTTTGACGTGAACGAGTTCGACCAGTACCTGCCGCCCAATGGCCACCCGCAGTCATCGAGTGGCACAAGCGCTGGGTCTTCGGCTTCGCCGTACACTTACGGCATCTCCAGTGCATTGGCAGCCGCTAGCGGTCACTCCACCGCCTGGCTTTCCAAGCAGCAGCTGCCATCCCAGCAGCACTTGGGATCGGATGGCGGCAAGATGCAGATTAAGAGTGAGACGCACTTCTCCAGTGATGCAGCGGCTGCGGCGAGCGGGTCGCACGTCACATACCTGCCACACTACAGCGCCGCCTTCCCCTCGCTGGCGTCCCGTGCGCAGTTCGCCGAATACGCTGAGCACCAGGCGTCCGGCTCGTACTACGCCCACTCTAGCCAGACTTCTGGCCTTTACTCCGCCTTCTCCTACATGGGCCCTTCGCAGAGGCCCCTGTACACCACCATTCCAGATCCCGGCTCTGTGCCGCAGTCGCACAGCCCAACACACTGGGAGCAGCCTGTATACACCACCTTATCTCGACCGTGACGCGACGTTCTGGTTTGGTATCCAGTCGATGAAGGGTCCAACAAAAGTGTGACTGAAAATCATGACAAACGCTCACCTGCACCACAATCTACACAGACAGGAACCTGAGAGAAACTTGTGTGTGTGGAGATCTGCAGGGAACATATTCTCACGTGCCTCAGGCTGATAAAACCTTCACAACCCGTCACAGATTCACTCAACGCTAGATGAATTAAAGGAGGCAGACATTTGACACCAGTGGTCCTTCATGAGACAGATTACCAAAGTTCTGAGACCAAAACATTTTAAAAAATCCAACAAAAATAGGTGCAGTTTCTGAACTCTTGAGTGGTATAACACTCAAACCAAACATCATTACGGAAGTCGACCTCCGCTCAAACACTAGATCACTCAAACTTACAACTGATGCTATTATCTGTAAATCCATGTTTTGTTTTGTTTTGTATGAATGAATAATCTCTTTTTATTAACCAAAATAAGGCCATATTGTTTTTATCAACAAATAATGACGTGTTTTCGTTGTTGTAATCTTTTCTATTGTTACTCTTATTTGTGTTGCCATACATACACTGAAAAGTCTTCACCACTGTCTAGTGTTTGTTAATGACATTAGTGTTTTATGACTTTCAGCGTGTGTAAACAGGACGCGATAATTACACGTCTTTACCTGTTACTCCAAACACATGCAATGCTTCCGTCACATCATAATTAGCCGTTTCCGGTTAATAAATGACATTTTTCAGCCGCAAGTGCCTCAGTCCATCGGCAACGGTTTGTCATCGCTGATGAATTCGAAATAAATCACGCGAATCTATTTTTCAGGGCGCGAACTTTATCAGCCGTTAGCCGATATGAATATTTAAATGCCCACGTGACACACGAATTCGAAAGAGCGCGCCATTTGGAATTGTATTGAAATAATGTCCGTTTCAGAACATTGCCAGTCTTAACGTTCAAGATTTTTTTTTAAAACACCTTTTTTAATGAGAAATAAAACATTGCGGTTAATAAAAAACATGTCTTTTTGCAGTCTGTTACTGTAAACGAAGTTTCCCAGATAGCACACGTACGTCTGCAAGATGTCTGTTAAAGATCTGGAAAGCATCTGCTGTGTACAAACATCTGATAGACGTCTCTAAGATGTCAACATTCATTCTGAATCATATGTATCATTTGTCATCTGATAGGAAACGTCCTATAGACGTCTTGGAGATGTACATGATTCGCCGAATACGCTGAGCACCAGGCGTCCGGCTCGTACTACGCCCACTCTAGCCAGACTTCTGGCCTTTACTCCGCCTTCTCCTACATGGGCCCTTCGCAGAGGCCCCTGTACACCACCATTCCAGATCCCGGCTCTGTGCCGCAGTCGCACAGCCCAACACACTGGGAGCAGCCTGTATACACCACCTTATCTCGACCGTGACGCGACGTTCTGGTTTGGTATCCAGTCGATGAAGGGTCCAACAAAAGTGTGACTGAAAATCATGACAAACGCTCACCTGCACCACAATCTACACAGACAGGAACCTGAGAGAAACTTGTGTGTGTGGAGATCTGCAGGGAACATATTCTCACGTGCCTCAGGCTGATAAAACCTTCACAACCCGTCACAGATTCACTCAACGCTAGATGAATTAAAGGAGGCAGACATTTGACACCAGTGGTCCTTCATGAGACAGATTACCAAAGTTCTGAGACCAAAACATTTTAAAAAATCCAACAAAAATAGGTGCAGTTTCTGAACTCTTGAGTGGTATAACACTCAAACCAAACATCATTACGGAAGTCGACCTCCGCTCAAACACTAGATCACTCAAACTTACAACTGATGCTATTATCTGTAAATCCATGTTTTGTTTTGTTTTGTATGAATGAATAATCTCTTTTTATTAACCAAAATAAGGCCATATTGTTTTTATCAACAAATAATGACGTGTTTTCGTTGTTGTAATCTTTTCTATTGTTACTCTTATTTGTGTTGCCATACATACACTGAAAAGTCTTCACCACTGTCTAGTGTTTGTTAATGACATTAGTGTTTTATGACTTTCAGCGTGTGTAAACAGGACGCGATAATTACACGTCTTTACCTGTTACTCCAAACACATGCAATGCTTCCGTCACATCATAATTAGCCGTTTCCGGTTAATAAATGACATTTTTCAGCCGCAAGTGCCTCAGTCCATCGGCAACGGTTTGTCATCGCTGATGAATTCGAAATAAATCACGCGAATCTATTTTTCAGGGCGCGAACTTTATCAGCCGTTAGCCGATATGAATATTTAAATGCCCACGTGACACACGAATTCGAAAGAGCGCGCCATTTGGAATTGTATTGAAATAATGTCCGTTTCAGAACATTGCCAGTCTTAACGTTCAAGATTTTTTTTTAAAACACCTTTTTTAATGAGAAATAAAACATTGCGGTTAATAAAAAACATGTCTTTTTGCAGTCTGTTACTGTAAACGAAGTTTCCCAGATAGCACACGTACGTCTGCAAGATGTCTGTTAAAGATCTGGAAAGCATCTGCTGTGTACAAACATCTGATAGACGTCTCTAAGATGTCAACATTCATTCTGAATCATATGTATCATTTGTCATCTGATAGGAAACGTCCTATAGACGTCTTGGAGATGTACATGACATCTCTGTGATGTAAGTGTGCTATCAGGGTCAGTTATTAGATGTTTTCTTCCCTTTGGTAGCCTACTTTTATAGTTTTTGCCCTCTTCATTAGTATTATTCAGAAACAGCAAACAAACAGCATTCTTGTTATATATTACATACTATTATTTATATTTGTTGTTTTTGTTGGTTTTTTATCAGTAGCGTTTTATTCTGATGTTGGAAACTTTGTGTAATTTCGTGGTGGGTAAAAGTGTTGTTGTTTTTCTTTATCAGTGTAAATAGAAGAGAGCAGTGACTAACTTCCCTCACTTTAAATAAAGCTGCAGTCTGTACAAACGCCTCCTTGTCTTCATGCACACACACTTACCTGAATGCTCATTTTCTCCGTATCTTCTCCACCTGTAAGACCATGACAAACCACGTCGCTCTTAAGTGCCACATATTTGATGCTCAATGAATTAGTTACTGTTTAGATTAGCACACTACAACAGTAGGCTATTATTTATTATTATTACAATGATTAATATATATATAGTGTATTTATTACCTATAATATAGTTATTACCCATGCATTTCAGCAGAATACAGTAGCCTATGTATACTTATAATATATTGCTTTTCTGCATTTAAGACGTATGCCAAACTGAATGCTGTATATAATAATGCAATATGCTTGACATGATCTATTTCCATAACATGCAACACAACGAAGTCATGTGACAGCGATGTAGTTTAGACTAAGTACGTGTACATGCATTATGCTAGCATTCCATTCTGACCAAATGCAATGTTTTTATGAGCTTGTAAATTCATTCTGATTGGCTGAAACAAATATCATGACAGTGCACATCTCAACAGCCTCTGCTTTTCTGCATTAACACTGTGTGTGTGAGTGCTGCACTGCTTATCTGCATGTGTGTGTGTGTGCTGAGAGTTGAGGCTGATTTCTAATTCCCCTGATTTAATCATCTGTGTGATACTTTGGTTAAACAAAGAGACTCATTCAGCTCCGGCTGAGCAAGAGGAGGGAGGGTTTCACTGGATACAAAGACACACACACACACACACACGGTCTCACTGCAACAGGATTTGGACATTCCTAAACAGTGTGCATGACAGAGAGACAGTGCAGTTAGATGAGTGCAAACCAGAATCTAAAAATTCTGGATCCATAAAAATTCAGAATCCATATACACACATTCATAGATAAAACGTGCTTTGTAATTGTACTTACTCAGTAGCCTATGTGAATTCGGATTAAACTCCATCCATATGAATGACATCAGCAGACGTTCACACACCTTGACAATTATTTTCACCTCAAAAGGTAGATTCAGACACTTAAACCCGCGCAAACAATGAACAGTTACATTTACATCCCGCCGTTCGTGCGTCAGTCAAGCGAAAGCGGTTCGTCATCGCTGATGAATTCGAATCAAATCCCGCGAAAATCTTTTCGTGGCGCGAACTTTATCATGCTTACTTTAAGAAAAAAATATTATTTGCATCAAGGGTCGTGTTCTGACTACAGGGGAAAAAACGCGTATTGTCTTTAAATGATTATTCAACGTTTTCCTTACTTTTTGCAGTTTCCACCACTTTATTAACATTATTCAAAAACAAAACTATTCTATCTTCTAACAATTTTAACCCTCCCGTTTTTACAAACTATTGAAATGAACCGCTGTAAATTAAATTTAAACTTTATTTTGTGGTAATCAACAGCTTAAACTCAAACTATTAAACACATTCAGTGTGAATCTACCGATAATGTCACTTTGTTTCACAACAATGCGAAAAATAAGAGCACAGTGTATAATTTTCTACAAAAAAAGTTTAATATTGCATGAATAAAACAAACGAATGAACATTAAATAATGAGATTGAGAGTGAAATCTTCCTCTTTGCGCTGAGTGTTTATCATGTGTTTGTGCTGCCCTCATGTGAACAAACAGATGAACTGCTGGATGAAACATGAAGCTCCAGAGCAGAAGACTTGAGATCTGTGCTGGAAACACTGCTGTGACTCACACAGATCTGAGTGTGTGTGTGTGTGTGTGTGTGTGTGAGAGTCAGTGTGAGAGTGTGTGTGTGTGTGAGAGAGTGAGTGAGTGTGTGTGTGTCTGTGTGAGTGTGTGTGTGTGTGTGTGTGTGAGAGAGATTCTCAGTCAGTAATGATGAGCTCGTCGCAGCCCCAGTCCTCATAACTCCCATCCGGCAGATACCGACGAATGATGATGGGGATCTTCCTGCTCCTGATCAACACACACCACACACACACACAAAAATACAAATCCTGAGACTGTGTCAGTGCTGCTGTAATGTAATAACATGTGTTTTTTGTCGTACTTGAGTTCTTTCATGGCGATCTGCAGTGGATCCGTCTCTCCTTCCAGCTCCACCATCACCGGTGCACACATCCTGTCACACAGGAAGTGATGTCGCTAATGAGTAATGCAGCATTATGAGCATTTAAATAAAACACAGATATAAAGCTGCTTCCAAACAAATGTTTCTTGTAAAAAGTGCTATACAAATAAAATTGGCTTTTATTTATACCGATGTTTTTATGGTTAAAAAAACTATTTAGAAATAAAACTATTAAACTAATTTCACCCTCAGCATCGTAAGGTGACGACACGGAAAACAAA